GTTCATTGTTCAGGAGGTTCACTAGACCAAGCAGCCTTTTGGGTTCCTCTAAGTAAGTACTGTATAGAATACATGATGCAACTATGTTTCTAAAATAAAAATACCAGCACTGTGATCATCTAAGCAAGTCTATCAAGTGTCATTATTTCTCACCTTTCTCTCTCTGTCTCCTTTCACTTTTTAAAGGTTTCCATGTTTGAGGAAATATTCTGTGTTGCTGTGCTGAGTATTGCTGCTGTGGAGGTCTAAGGTGTTTATTGATATGGTGAGTAAATAGTCTGTGAAAATATCACTAAATCACAATCTGTCATTTATACATTTTAATATTTATCTCATCTCTGTTCCTCTCTGTCCTATTTTCAGGATCCCATCATATGATTTACATTGTTCAGGAGGTTCACTAGACCAAGCAGCCTTTTGGGTTCCTCTAAGTAAGTACTGTATAGAATAATGGGACCGGGAGGATGGTGTAGGTTTAAATTTATTAGACAAGTACATATACGCCAACAAGACAGTGTACAAGTGGTGTCACAAGAAAGTCTGTTTTCATTCATAGGCTTCATTGTCTTTCCATCAGTACCTGGTGGGCCGGTCTAGGCTCAAAATGCCCGGGCCAATTTTTTGTCCCAGTCCAGCCCTGCCTGACGCAGTCTGTGTTATGGCCCCTAGCAACAACCTGATAGCAAGCAGAACCGTGGACGAGGCAGGAGCTGACTTCCGCAAGCTCCTTTTGAGCGCCTGTAGTCGCTGGCAAACGGTATGCTCATTTTCTAGTAGATCATTGTTGGTACTGTGAGCAGTTTCGTTATATTAGGTGTGGTAGAAAAATATCTATTCTTTGATTGTAAAATTTTGAGGGGGGAAAACAGTACTTTTGTAACAAGAGATACTGTTTTGTACAGGTCTTTGTCCAGGACTTCATGCCTCGTCTGAACGTCGACGTTGTTCTGCAAGACCTCATGTGCCAAGAGTTTCGCCGCGTGGCAGCCAGCATGGGTAAGTTTAAAGTTTCTAGTCCCAGTACAGTCACGTGTAAAACAGGTTATATCTTCATAGGAAATCTGAAAAAATTTGTGATTGTTAAAATCACTATGGTCTTGTAATTAAGTTTGATTATAAATTTATGATTATTATAATAATGAAGTTAATGCTTCATGATCCTCAAATCCTCAAATAGTAACATTTGTTCAATCATTGTGTTTATAGACTTAACAAACATCAGATTAGTCTACACGGTGATATAGTGACGTGAAAGATATATAGCTAAACTCAAAGTATTTGTAGACAACACAGCGATTCCCTGGGGGCACCGCCGGAAGTGAAGGGCGTGAGTGATCGCCGAGGCTCCTGCACTTCTGTTAGTCAAAAAACTCCGGGCTGTGCCTCCAGAGGTAAAGGAAGAAAAAAAAAAAGTTTTTTTTTTTTTTTTTTTTTTTGTTACCGATGGATTTCCAGATTGCTTGTCAAGTCATGTAAGTCAGACCCTTTTGAGTGGAGGCTTGTTGGCAGGGACAGGAAGGTAAGGCTTTACACACTGTTATTGTGTGTTTGAGAGTTTTTGGAAAAAATAGTTTCCTTAAAGGGGAACTAAACCCCCCTCTCTGGGCATTACTCTGCCCACAGCTTGATTTCAAAAAATTCAGAAAAGATAGGCAAAGCTGAGGGAGGGGGAGAGGGGGCAGGCGAGTGGCGAGGAAGGGGGCAGAGTGAAGATTTTCAAATACTCCCACTCAAAGGGGAGGGGGGTTGGGGGGATATGCTGCCTATTCTACCTCCATGATTCAGACCCTGACAAGCTAGCCATGAGTAACCACTCAGATAACAGTGTAGACACCTTTGCGCCTGAAAATTCATTTGAGGTGGAGGACTTCTCTCCTCTTGACTCGCCTGTCGGCCAGGATGACGGTCCAGAGCCATATCAATTCGAGCTGCTACAACAGCCAGTCGGTGCTGAGGTAGCCCGGGAAGAGGGCACTGAGGCGGCTGGGATTGAGGACATGGAGGGGCAGGAGCGGATGGGAAATGTCTCGGATTGGTAGTGGCTGGATTTTAGTGAAGATTTTGATGTTAGACCATCTGTTTTGATGGTCTAAGATTAATATAACATTTTTTATACAAACAGCCCTGTTCCACCACTGTACCATGTCATAGATAGATAGATAGATAGATAGATAGATGGATGGATGGATGGATAGATAGATAGAAAGAATAAAAAATAATAAATAAAAAAATAATTGCATTTCTTAGCTAGCCACTCACATATCTATATTTTCAACAGGTGTACCTGTGGTCACTGTACAAATCTCTCTCCTAGAGAGAATGTCTGTTGCAGGGAGATGACAAAGGTAACGGAGCCCAAACAAGCTTTATCGGTATTTGATATTTCAATTTGACATGACTGCATTGTTCCCAAATAAAGATTGCAATGTGTTATATAAATACACACATAAACAGTATAAATACACACACACACACGTTAATACAATATGCATAAAACCCCCCAAAATATGCTGCTTTTCTTGACATGCAGGTGATGCACAGGTGTGAACAGGTTGGAGGAGCAGCCTGCATAACAATGCACCCAGGTTTTGAACCCGATGCCCTAAACCCATATGTGCTGCAGGCAATGTATGGCACCTACCTGCAGTTATTTGGGGAGATGGAGGAACCTGTGCTCAGTAGGTCAGTTTTAGGAAATGAAACTCACTTTATACAGGTGTTAGTTGAGTATTTTTAATACATTGCACAAGGTTTATATAAGGTCAGCAAGTATGAAGTGATATAAGGCAAATTTCTGACAATCTCAAATTATTTCCATCTTCATGATTCTTTTTTTTTTTTTTTTTGAGCACATACAATTACGGTATTCCCATTCATGACAAAACAGTTAAAACTGAAAGGCTGACCAGAGTCCATTCATTTTTTACAGTTGCTACAGACATCTGGCCTACCGCAACTTTAGACTAGTTTTAGATTAAGTATTTTAAGGAAATGAAAATAATTTAGAAAAGACAAATAAATCAAAAGATGTTTTGAAAATTTTAAATTTTTCTTTGAAATTACAATAGATAAATATATATATTCATAAATATGTTGTCATCACATTAAATCAAATTGTGCTGTGAACAATACAGTGTTATTGTGACAGGAATACTGTTATGAAACAACCATTACATTTTTATAAGTATTATCTGTCCAGATTTGATTCAGATTTTTTTCAAAAGTCAAGCAATTTTCAAACCCTGACAACACCACATTACAATTAAAGCATGATAAATATGAACATTGACTTGGATAGCATCAAAACACTTCCATGTTTACTGGATAGGGTGTTTATCAGCAAGGGCTTAAATGATACACTTTTTCATGACCATGGGGACCCTGATAATAGGGGAATATACACCAATGTCCTTAACAACATAGACCTCAGCCTGGTGGTGTTTGTGGAGTGCAGGTTAATGGATTAAATTTTAACCAAGCTTTGAAATGTAATTAGGTGTTTGGTAACAGAGGGACTTGAAGGTTGAAGATGAGGAACTTTTGAGCCATGTGGAACTTCATTGGGCCCCTGTGCATGTGGACGACAGTCTGAGACATGTTTAATGTAACCAGAGAGGAAAGATGGCAACCTCTAGCAGATGATTAGTCCTCAGCATCTCTAGTAGGAGACAGATAAAAAGAGGCTTCAGCAAGATACAAACTCTGGTCAATGAGGTAGTCATTACAAGTAAATGTTTGTGTTGTTATTAAGTTTAGAGTTTCAAATGCTATTTTGGAAGCATAAAATTACCAGCCAGGAATCTGAAATTGTATCCAGTGTAGAACACTGGTCAATTCTCCACATGTTTGATGTTAAGTATTATACAACCAGGTGTCTGATTAATACAATCACTTATTTGTGTATGGTCTCAAATACCACGTGAAGACTGCAACCATGAAGTACTCAACTCAGTCTGAAATGTTGTCAGTAGGGCTGACGGGGCTTGGGCCTGTTCTCATCCCCCATCCATAGACAGGAACTCATCTGTGTCTGTTGAGAAAATAAAGTAGACTGATTTTAGAGTTTGAAGACAGGTATACGTCGACAGGTGGAAATAGAAAAGGCACAAATGATTAAATTAACATCAATAACCATACATGTATTCCTACAACATATTATGTAGTGAGCCAAACCTCACCTGTCCTTGCAAAAGCGGGACTTGTGTCTGGCAACTGCATCCTGCTTATCTGGCCTGGTGAACTGGACACACAGTGGCTCTGGTACAGAGATCTTGTCCAGGAGCTCCTGATATGGACGCGGGTCTTCCAAAACATTGTGGAAAAGCAGTTCCATCAACGCGTCAATGTAGCCTTCATGGTACAGATAAGACAGAGTTATGATAATTTTACCCAATTAAATATTTATGCAGTTTTTCTGTCTATCAACTAATTACCTGCAGTTGGCCGACTCTTGAGTTGACGCACCATGAAGTCCCCATGTTTGTACTTTGGGTATGTAATGGAGTACCTGAGTTCTCCCGCTGTGGTGGATGAATACTCTCTTGTTGCGTTCTCATTACAGTGCATCGCCGTAAGCTGTAGTCTAATGAATGATTATTAAAACAGATTAAAATATATTACTAATAAATACAAAATACGAACATGGAATATTTGGCATGGTTTATTGTCAAATCTGAATCTGAATCTGAATATTCTACCCATTAATATGTTCATATAAGTGTATAAACGCTATAAAATAAAATTTGTTTGGTTTTCGTAGCCTTATAATTATGCTTTTATATATATATATATATATAGCAAGGGCCTTGCTTTAGAGAGGTTGCCATCTTGCGCCACCATGTATGTAAGGCAGCCCGAGTGGACAATCCAGCCAGCCAGAGAACACGTTTCGCGTGTATAAATAAACCAACAAAGACAGCGGAAGGAAGGAAGAAGGAGGAGGAAACAGCAGAGAGTGTTAGTAGTTTGTCAATGGAGAGTAGTGAAAAGTTTTTTTAGTTATAAAGTTTGCGAATGGACCACACTTACCACGAAACAGGAGAGAATGAACCCGAACTCCTTGTGATCCACTCTCAGCAGAGCTTTTCCTCCTGATGATATATCTCCCCAACGATGGTAGCACCAAATCCCATTCTGTGCAGGAAAATGGGAGCGGAGGATTCAGCCTCTCTTCTCGCCCACTCAGCATCCAACACATGGAGTTCCTCATCTGTATGCTCCGGCTCAAACAGGTATGGCTCTGGGTCTGTGTCCACTACAAGAAACTCTTCAAAATCGCGTTCAAAGTCGTCCATTGCAGCTACTATAGTCCGGAGATATTGCTAGGCTAAATAAACAGCTGAGCTCTGTTTACA